ACTGCGCACGGACAGGTCATGAGATCATGATCGATAACGCAAAGGTGGTGGCGCCAGCTAAGAAGATGGGGGAAAGACTAATCCTGGAAGCTGTGCACTCGGTCAATTCGTTCAACGACATTACGTCACACTTGCAAAACTCGTGAAGATTGGTGGACTGATAGGCGTACAAACAGCATACAGCCGCATGAAAAGACAGTAATCTCATTATCTCATTCATTTAATTTACCAGAATCCAGGTTGTAGGCGAATATATGTTTTCAGTGAGTTCCTTCTCAAGCCAGTACAATCACATTAATGTAAGAAAATAACGGGAAAGTGTTGTTTTGGGGTCAAACAGTCGTGGTCAAATAGTTATAGCAAAGGGGTGGGGTAGGGACAAATTTATCACTCGTTCTCATGTTCAGATAAGAACGGGTTACGTAAGCGTTGATAATTGACTTGGGTCATCACAACGCTCATGCGTGATGCTGTCCACTTTGGGCCAAGGAAGTTTAAATCCCTGAACAAGTGTTTTTTGAGCACATAATTCCGGGTTTAATAAGCGGATGATATTTGCCTCGGCTGTTGCTAGTGTTTTGATTCAAAGAGCCTTGGATTTGTGTTGTAGGACGCGATAAATTATGGTGAAAGCCGAATTAGCATCCACCTTAGGTCCAGTTTCTACCAAGTGTGCAACAATGTAACTTGAAATAACTCCGATTCCTCTGTCTAAGCCTAACGGGTTGATGTTCCTTGATGCGTTTAGATGGTGGCCTTGTCGTACGATCTATATAAGTGGCACAACAGGTGCATTGGAATTGGTAGATGAGCATTGACGAGGTCAACATAGGCAACTTATCGTTGTTCTGACATCGAATGACGGGTGATATCGAGAACACGCATCTGAGTTTGGCAGCATTGAACGTTGTTTTAATCGCGGCACTCAGGACCCTAGTAAACCTTTCAGCTGCTGGATCTCATTTGAACGGGAGTTTGATGATCAAAGTCTTTTTCTCCGCTCCATCTGCAACCACCTCTTTTGTTCTTTTAGACCAGTTACGATTAATGAACGTTTCAGGGTAGTCATTTTCTGACAGCGTCTTTCGCACAACTGCTAATTCTGCTTCTAATGTGTCTTCTGAGCAAATGTATTTTACTTTGAATAGCAGACAGTGCATCAAGTTACGTTTGTAAGCGAGCGGTACGAAACTATGAAAGTTTGTATACTATCCGTCCCCTGTGGCTTTACGATGCATCTTCCGCTGAATGGAACCATCCAAACGTCTCGTTAAACTAACGTCCAGGAATGGTATATCGTTATTTTCTTCCTCCTCAACTGTAACGTGTATCCCAGGGTGTGCCATATTGAAATTCAACAACACATCTTTGAGGTCGAAATTGTCATCGGAAATACAAAAATATCGTCCACATATTTGTAGTAGTGATCGAAATTATTGGATGGTGTACAGAGGACCAGATCCTAATTTTGTCATGAAAATATCCACGAGGATTGATTCTAAGGGTGACCCCATGGCGACTGCATCTTTTTGGCGACAGTAGGTATTACCGAACAAAAATTGCACGTTGAACGTGCACCTGAGTATAAATTCTTTGAGACTGTCAACTGGTACACCCATGGCTATATTCTCAATCGTAATGAATTCGCAAATGAAGTTTAGTGTCTCGAGTAGANCGAGTAGAGGTACGTTTGTAAACAGGGACACGACATCAAGAGAGAACATGTGTTTTCCTGCTAAGCTTACATTTTTTATGACGTCCACAAACGCGAAGGTGTCTCGTATTGTGTGTTTCGCTGGTATTTTATGCACTGGTTCGAGAACTTCTACTAGCCATTGGGCAGTAGTGTGATAGGCTGAATTTGTCATGGACAGTATGGGACGAAGAGGTAAGCCGAGTTTCATTTACGTTTGACAACGAGTCCCAGTTTGGATCGAAACGTTACAATAAACATTTTACAACTCAGTGTAAGCCTCCATTCTCCCTTAATATATA